CCTTTGCTATGATTTTTTTTTACTAAAAATAGATTTGTTATGATTTTACTAATTAAAATCTCGTGTAACAATAGCTTGGAGGGTCATTTTGTTAGCAAAAGCCCCAATTAACCTTAATTAGAATCAGCAGTAATTGATTATTGCTTGAAATAAAGAAAGAGAAAAAATAATAAAATAAAAAAAAGAAAATTTTTTTTTAATATGAAAAAAAAAGATCAATTATCTTGTTCAGTAAAATTAGAATCTTTATCTGAGACAAGGATATTAGATTTGATCTGTGAAGTGGCTTCTAAAAATTGATTATTTGATAATTTATCATTTTTTGACACTTTTGAGAAAGAAGCAACTGGCAGATTTGTTCTGATATGTTTATTGGAAGCTGATTTTTTTTTAATATATTTTTCTTCTATACTATCTAATTGATTATTAAAATTGTCTTGAGAAGGTGCAGTTTTATTAACAGACACATTAGAAGATTTAATCACATAGTTTTATTCTATATCAAATACTACAATATGCAAAATTTTATTTAAACCTAATTTCAATCTTTCTACTACTTAGATAACAGTTCTCAGGATATTGTCTTTTAATGTATTATATCTACCATGTTCATTGTTATATGAAACAATCATATTTGAATCCAAATTTCTGTAACCTGTAACCCCATTATAAGATTTTCTAAGTAGTTTGAAACTCTTTCTGCCTTTATCATTATCGATATAAGAATTGGGTACTGTAGGTAAAGAGTAAATCAATATTGGTTCTGACCAGAGAAGATCATCATAGATCAATTCAACATCATTATTAGTAGATATAGATATACTTTGGATCAAAGTGATCTTAAAAAACAAAAAAAATAAAAATAAAAAAAATAAATATATTAAATTTTAAAGCAAGTATCTTTATATATACATATTCGATATTATCTTTATATATATATCATCCTACAAACAAAACGATCTAATTTTTTTCAAATTCAATAATCAAATTATTTAAATTATTCATAAAATCCTTATAGATAATCTGTCTAAATTTATTAACCATAGTATTGATCCTATACAATATGGTGCTAGTTAAATAATTTTTATTCCTGGTAACAGATTGAATAAAACAATACAAAACAAAGACAGAAGATATTTTTTAAACAATAAAAAAAAGCTATCTATTAATTTGTTTAAATTTTAATTTTTTTTTAATATATTTGAGAAAAAGTAATGCAAAAAAAAAAACAAAGCAGCAGTATTTATAAATAATACAAGAGACTATGAATCAGAATATACTAGTAGATATTAACAATTAAACAGATATTTACGAACATATATATTTACAAATTTTGAGAAATCACAAGAATAATTAATATATAAAAAAATCATAGTGAAATAAAATGATAATCAAGAGATCAAAACAAATACAGAGAAAATTTTCATTTCATATATCATAAAAACAAAGCCAACTGATCAATTATTATTAAACTCAGTAATTATATTAAACCAGATCTCATAATACAATAATACAATATAATAAAGAATAAAACAAAGATAATATTTCACTTATATGATCATCAATTTAATACAATGATCTTATTATTTAATCAAATAAGACAATAAAAATTAAAATACAAAAAAACAAAAGTAAATAAAATATATAAATGGTAAAAAATAGCAAGTTATGATCTAAATGAAACATCAAAAAATAAAAAGATAATAATTATTTATTCGAAGCAAAAGATATATAATTAGGCCAGATCACTAAACATTAAAAAAATCAAATAGAGTAACTTATTACAATCAATTCGATATATTATTTATAAGCGAAATAATCGGCAATTCCTAAGCCAGATCAACCAAATATCAAAAAAATCGAACAGAGTAAGCCATTATAATCAACTCGATATAAATAAGACTATTATTCCTAAGTGAAATAAAATAAAATAGTATACGTATATATATAAGCAGTGCAGTGATAAGCAGCAATGTGTAGCAATAAATAGCAACAAGCACAAATATATAATAAATAATAAGAATAACAATAACTCCTATACAAAACAACATAGTTTCTATATAACAGAGAAGACCTAATAAAAACAAAAAAGAGATACTCATCAAAAATTAGCACTATGAATAATGAAATATTGCTGAAAACAAAAAGAAACAATAACACAAAACTATAGTCACCCTATAGTTGTGTTAATCAGAAACGCAGACAACAATATTTATTATATTATAAAGCTTTTAATTAGATTTAGCATTACAACCTAATCTTGAAAATTTATTTATTTTGTTACAATATAGAGAACAGATTTAGTTTATAAATTGTGTAGAGCAATTTTAGAAAATATATAAATCGCTAAATAAATCGAACCTAAATGAAAGATTTAACAATATTGTAACTAAAAATTGCATATAGAGATGGTCTGCAATCCTATTTCAATTAATAATAACTAAATATAAAATAGAAACTTTATATATTAAATAAAACTTAATATATTAGAACTTAAGAAAATAATCCATATTACAAACACAAAATTTATAATTTATTAATATATGTATTAAGTATATTATAGCTCTGTTTTAGACAACTCTATAAAAAGGATTGTGTAAAATTTGTATATATAATATTTATGCTAAATAGACAGAATAATATTTTTTTGATATTTTTCACACATTTTAAAAAAAAAAAATATACAAATATATATATTATACAATTCTTTTATTAGACAATTTAAAACCTAGTTCTAATCAATTTACTAATAATTATTTCACCAAACGCTCATTTAGCCAATATTATATAGGGTTAGTATTTTTGGTATAATATCATCTAAATGAACTATTGGTAAAGTAATTGTCAATAAAATTATACAAACTAGTTAACACAAGAATATAGATCATTATGTTATAAAAATCATAAATTGTATATCATTATGTCATAAGATTACTATACTGAATCAAAACCAAAATTTGTATATAAATAATACACTTGTTCTTGTATAATATCGATATATTCAATATTAAATTTTTGTTTGAATATTTACCAAAAATGTTGGTGTATTAGTTTATATGAAAAAGACTATCAAGAAATATAAAAAAGCTCTAAATATCAATTTAACTTTACAATAAATATATTATATAAACAAATACTAATATTAAAAAAATTAGATATTAAAAAATCAAGATTTTAACATTTGAGAGATGTCAATAGAAAGAGACAAATTTTTTTAAATAAAAGTTTTAAACTTAAGTATTTCAACTACTATCTAATCAAATTTAATTTTTTTTTATTTTAATTCTATAAAATTTGAATTAATAAGCTTTTTAAAAATCTACTAGTCAATCGCCCTTATAGGCAACCGTAGAACTGCAACAAAAACTCGGAAAAGAATATTCCTTTACAAAAATATGAACAATGAACAATGGCAAACATACTCTGA